GCGGCGTGCAGCACGTATTATTCGTCGATGAGATCTGCAAATAGATTTGAATAAAAAACCTGATAAAATCGATGAAAACACCCACGAGGGTAACGTTTGCGATCGATTGAGTTTAAAACAATAGCTAACAATTAAATCATAGTAGCGCATTCACTTCGAGCTGAGCTTTTTAGATTGGTTTGTAAAATAAAATCCTAAAAAAACTCCAGATATATCAACCATATGTTAAGCAAATATGAAGTTCATTTTCTTACTTAGGGATAGTTATCTAGAAAAGGGAGGTGTTAAGTAAAATGACGACAGCCATGCTTACATTCACAGCCAAAGGTTGGGATTTGCACGTACTCCATCCGTCCTCAGAAGTAGAAGAAATGAATGTAATTGCCTGCAATATACTAAAGACCACAGATGATGCCTTATCCTGACCAACTTGCTGGTTTACTATTTCTTATCACGAGATATTTACCTTGCAAACGCCTTCACTAGTTGTAATCATTTCTTTAGAGAAAAGTTTCGCTTGTCTCTGCATCCTTATAGTCCAGAAAAAAGGGTTCTACCACTAAGGGCTGTCAACACAAACCCCACATTTTGATAAAAGCATCGTTTTTCAAGTTAGAGCGCCTACCTTTGTGTAAATGACCTTCAACCCCCGAACTGTATGGAGTAGCGATGCCCGAAATATGATTGGAGAAATTCTTGCACAAGAACACTATTACCAAAATTACATCCGATTTGCATCACCATATTCCTGCAATGCAATTCATGTCGAGTAGTGTAGAGTATCTCTTCGTCTGGAGACTATTGCTGCCACGTGCCATAAGTGCTCGCTATCTTTAACTGTTCTCCATAATTAGATTGCATATCTTTAATCAAATGAAACTCGATTCCTGCACATCATTATATAATGCTACTTGATATATAATTAGTGTATGCGTAAAAAAACTATCGTCAATATTTACGGGGTTTTCATGAATCTCTTTAGGATATATATTGTAATAATGTAGCCGACGCACTTATTCGGCACTCAAGGACCAAAAGATATATTTTTCACTCAGCACTTATATATTTCGTCCCGTCTATTGAGTGCAAAGTAAATATTAAAATAGACATGGTTGGATTTAAGGAATGGAATTTAATTGACTTTCTTACATCAGTTATCAGAGTAAAATAGTGGATAATGCCAGTGTCAGTACAATCAGTTATAAGTTTCAATTGAACAGACACATTTGAAGTAGCTGAGGTAAGAAATATGAAATTAGCGGGAGGATTAGCTAATCAAAACCATTATTGATTTGCTCCTCCGATCAGGAGTAGATATTAACATACACATATTAGCAATATATGAGCTTACGGTGGCTCTTCAACTGACGGCGTGGCCATGGTCTGGTTGGATGATGCCGCTGTGGCACTGGAGCCACCAATAAGTGCACCGTAATTGGTCGAGCCTGATTGACGTTGATCAAGAGAAACTGGCGTGTCTGCAGCGAGACCAGAATGTGGGGTATTTGCACCCAGATTAGGTACTATCACCTGATTTGAAGAAATGGAGGCTCCAAAGTTAGGCTTGACTGCGGGAGCAGCAAATGTAAAAAGACCAATTTGGGAAGAAGACGACATAGTCTGGGGTTGCAAAGAATGAGATGCAAAAAGAGATTTTCCTGTACCAAAAAGGCTGCTACTAACACCAGCAGAGCCACCAAAAACGAAAGGGGACTTTGGTGCTTGATTCTCAGATGATGTAGAGCTACCAAGTCCAAATACAAAAGGAACTTTTTCCTGA